AGCCCCGGCCGGACCAACACTCAGGGTCTTAAAATAATTGAGAAGAACTTGCTACCTTTCTATAGCATCTAGAAATGGTTAGATATTCTTGTCTTCTTGGATAGGGATGAATAAATGGAGGTCCCGTCTCCTACAGGGTTGGGGTAGGAGATGTTAATTTCCCACACATGAGATTACTGTGTGATGGATGTCCTCCCTTGGGGTGGGATGGGTGGGTTGTTCTGTATTACAGAGGGCCATGTGTTAGAAAACTCTTTACTGGGTTAATCATGTATTTACCCTCTCATAATAAAGAACATTGTATTGTATTGTATTGTCTGTACTCTTATCTATCAGAGCAAATTGGCCAATCCGAATGCCACATAACTGCCAATTGCAGTAAAAATAGGTATTACCAGGTGATCAAACCTGATACAAATACCTGTAGCTACATGCATGATAGGGTACATTCCCTTGTACATTTACTTATACCAGCCTGGTGATGCCAGAAGTGAAATAAATGTTCTGTAAAAAAAAGGTTAACTCAACTATTTGGTATTACCGAGTGCATGAAATTTGCTTGTAAAGTGAATATAGATTTTCTTACTTAAAATGTGACCTTAATTTCAACAGAGGCAATTCTTGAGGGACTGGCTATGGAACTGCGTCGCATTGTTGAAGAGCGGGAAGCCAAGAATGAACCTGCCAGCAAAGAAGAACTAGATGCACTTGACCTCAAACTGCGCTCCCTTCGAATGCAATTTCGAAAAGCTGAGGAGAATTCTAATGCTCTTGCAAAACAAAAGAGAGAATTAGAAGAAAAAATAAAGAAAAACGCCAATGATGTAGGTTTTTTTTATCTTGCAGCATCAATCTGTCACATTTGAACTTTCACTAAAAGTCATTTATTCACCTCTTAAAATATACAAAGGGGATCTGGATACTTATAGCTATCTTGTAATTGCACAAGGGGCTTAGAAGGGTATGATATCACCTCTTTTCTCATGGAATCTAATGTTTCCCCTGTACTTGGCAAAAACCAGCTGCCCATGAAGCTAAAGATGTGATGATATTGGTATCAAAAAGTCCAGCCATATGTTGAGCTTGCATCAATCATATTACAAGGGTAACAGTTTTCTTCTACTTACAAAATGTACAAAACATTATTTTGGCTATGCCCAATTTTCATGCTGTCTAGTTCTTAACAGCCATTTCTCCTCCTTATGTTTTTGTGAATAATTTGTTTCTGGTAGTTATATATATTAAGTTTGATTACTAGCCATTTTCATGCAACTCATGGAATTAAATTTTGTTTTAGATCAATAGGCTTCGTACAGAGGTGAAGAAAACAGAGGAGGAAAATAACCTCTTAATTAAAGAGGGAAAGTAAGTCTCCATTATCTTTCAGCCACACATTTTCAAAGGGAAACACTTTAATACTAGAAGAAGTTGAAAATTGTAAGATAACTTACCTCTCATAATACACTATTGGGAATAAAAGTGTAATACTTGTGAGGGTGTGGCAAGAGTGACCAACACAGACTTTCAGCTTACAATATAAGTACAATATCAAGCAGAAAATTGGTGAGAAGTTTTGATCAGTTGATTCACCACCAAATTCTCCCTACTCCTAGGTTATAAGAATGGTGAAGCAGTCAGCGAGGATGTTGTTAAGGAGATGTTTGTAGCAAAAGGGTTAATTGTTTGGAAAAAGTGTCAACATGCAGAAATTTGTATAGCTCACCATGACAAATTTAACTGGGAGTCCCGAAGCCCGTTCCTCGAAAGTTCCGGTAACTTAACGGGCCCGTAAAGCTGTGTTACCGGCCGCGGAAGGAGAGGTCGAAATCATTTACATTGAAAGCAAACATACAAGCAATATGGCGGACCAAAACGAACCTCATGCGTTTTATTATTCTTTTTGCCATGACAACTCGTGACAAATACGTTTACATGGGAAGGGGAGGGGTGGTGTCCGTTTTCTCAACTTATCCTTCACAGCTGCTCTACTTTCATTCAAGATGGGGATTTCAAAAGTTTTGAAAATGATAAAATAAAACTATTAGCTAAAGAAACAATAAGGACTGGTTTAGGTGCCAGAACCTGCTTTCCTATCCTTTAAATTTTGATTTTAAAACATGGCTTCGGGCCCGTTAAGTTACCGGGACTTTCGAGAGACGGGCCCCAGGGCTTAGTTGTTCAAAGAGTGGATGATGCTATCCAACAGATAAATGGATATCTAGTGGACAAGTGTTACCAAAACATAATGTGCTATCTTTCAGAAAGAGATTTATCCAGTGAATGGTATATTTACTCTTCAAACAACCTGGGTTAGTTTGAAATAAGCAAGCATGGGTTAATATTTCAGACACTTAAATAAAATTCCCACCCAATTATGATTCAGAACTTTTTGCAGAATGGTATTATATAACTGAAGACTTTCTCCAAGCCCCTTTGAGCTGTACTATTCATAAATCTTTTCATGTGGGAATTCATTTGACTTGGGTATCTTGGTAAAACTCACCAGGCAGCACCTTGAAAGCGAGGCCTGGGATGAAATTGGGTATTGTAATGTACATTTAACCATCATGGCCCATGAACCCTGTTCTGAAATTCTACAATTTGTTAAGACAAATATTTATTGAAATTTTCCCCCGAAAATCCCAAAGGCCTATTTAAATAAGATATGGTACGCCCCTTTGGGTTTTAGAGTTTCTTCCTCGACGCTACGAGAGAAGTACTGTTAAGGGAAAACTTTTCATTGAAACTGGCCTGGTCTGTAACTGAGTTTCCATTCGTCGTTTGAGTAAGGTTTTTTATGTTCACGTTAGTGTTATCATCCTACCTTGATTTAGAATCAAACCTCAATTATGTCCTTGGCTGAGCTAAAGTTGAGCTGTTACATGAAAACTTTCCCTTGAAAAGTCCCAAATATGTGTCTTTGAGCTGACATGGCTACGTTGCGTCATCTGTCACGTGATTTTTTCATTGGCGGGAAATTTGCACCGCCTGAGCTAGGTGTGGAGTGGCTTTGTGTTTTGGCGGAGGGTGGAAGGAAAGGGGGGAGGAACCCTGGGTGGTCTTCGTTTAACACAAAAGCCTTATATTATTAAAAAAAAACTTCGACCGCTTTGTTTTCTTCAGGAAGGTGGCGCCGCAGAGAACAGTTGTAAGTAGCATTTACCATTTATATGTAATCGCCATTAGAATTTTAGTTGATCCACTCATTGTTGTATTTATAGACTTTTACGAATTTAAGATGTTTCTCTTTTTTTCTTTTCATATTTTAACAAAACAGAAGAAGACTCTTCCACCGAAGGTGCGTTTAGTGAGTTTTAACCTGCCGACCACGAAAAATACTCTGTAAATCTCTTGCGCGTCAATTTTTTAGGGATTTGAGATGACTGTTGATTCGAGCATAGAATCTGTGTAAAACGCAAGCACAATAAAGAAAAAACTAACAATAGCTATAAAATAAACGAATAAAAAGGAAATTCCTTGAGAAAAAAAGTGTCACACGTTTGTCACAATAAAACGTTTGAAGAATAACGGGTTGGCACGCTACATTTTGATTGTCGTCGAGAATTAGAGTACGATGGGAAGGAAAAGCGTAATACTGTCGAATTCACAACGCCTTGCCTGTTTTCTGATTGGTTGTATTTTTAATGGGAATGTGTGAAAAATCATATTTCGCAATAATGTCAAAATGGCCAGCGCACGATTTCTTCAAGTTCCAAAGGAAGAAATATTGAAGCAAATTGATTGTTATTTTCTGATCAATTAAGCGAGTAGATTTGTTCTACAATGTTCGCGTCGCCCTTGACGAATAATTTTAAAACGTGTATATCATGATTTTTTCCAACAGAAAGGAAACTTTGTAAACGTGGTGCGTAAAGCTCAGGCTGCAGCATGGGAAGAGAAGTTCATGGCCATGAAGGCCAAGCAAAAGGAGTCTAACAAGGTAACTTTTTCTTCCCAACTATTTTCAGGGCGCTGCTGGGTGAAAAAAAAAAATTATTTTTTTGATGAACACTGAGTTCCTTAGGGTTGCAAAGTAACGAAGTGTTAATATAGCGGTAATAACGCTGTCTCATCAGACTTTTACGTACGTTTCGTGTGGAGGATTTTCGAGAAATCTGCCCAAATGGTGATTTTTCCCAGGGCAATCGTATTGCTAGTAAAATTTGTTTCGTGTAAAGAGCACTAGAAATGCAGAATTCTCTAGAAGATTTTCTTTTTGGCTCTGAAACGAGCTTGGTTACTGTAGCTTTCGCCACGAAATTGTAATGGTTATGTTGCACATCGCGAAACGAGGCGAACTTACTTAACCTCACCCAAGAAACACCGGGATGATTTGTCGAATGTTAGTAATAGTTTTCCAAAGACATCGAAATACGGAACCAACGTCGAATGTTTCGTTGCATTTTTCCTTTGGTTTCGATTATTCTCGACAACTGCGAATTACCAACGAGTTGTGACGTATGATCATAACTTCGTCAAAGGAATTAGTTTCAATAACATCCCTCAAAAGAAGTAACGAAGAAGAAGAACCTTTCTGATGAAGGATTCTATGATGGAATGTGGATCAAATGGAAATAAAGTGACAAAAAGGTTCGTTGAATGGGGATGAAGAGGCTCAGTGTTATGAAATTCGATTTTACAAAGCCTTCATTTGCGACATGTAAATGTTGAGTAAATTCAGCCAAACTTTTCCTTTAAAATCATGAACCGATCTCTAAAGCATGCTTGCCCTCAGCTGTTATCATTGAAAACAAAATCTTTTTTTCACAGATGAGCGAGGAACTCATGAGCAAAATGAACCGTGTCAAGCGTACAGACAGCCCTCTACTCACTGGCCTCAAAAAGGATAAAAAAGACAAAAAGAAGGAAGAAAAGGAGGCTGCGCCTGCCTGGGCTAAAACCCAACTGAAGAAAGGAGGTAACAAGCCATGGAGTGACGACAAGAAGAAGGATGGAGAGAAGAAGCCTGACTGGTCAGGACGGGTGGCTCTCAAGAAGACAGAGAAAAAAGACGGAGGGGACCTTGGTGAGTCAAAGAGGCAGGACTGGCGAGAGGGACTGAAAAAGGCTCCGAAAAGTCCTGGTGTGGACGGAGAAGCAGGTGATCCTGAGTGGAAGGGTGTCAGTTTGAAAACCACCGGAAGGCACGACGAAGACGATTAAACTTGAACTGATTTAGGGTAGTTTTATACTTAAACTTGATTTATGTGAGCATTTTTGTCCTAAAAGCCAAGTTTTAGGCTCTTTTTTGGATTTTTTTTCTAAGCCCGTCAATCTTTCCAACATGAAGATGTTATAGTAGAGCTGGATCTTTAGAAGATACTCACATGAGTGTAGGAGTGCAACTAACTTCATTTGATGCTAAGTAAAAACCCTCGTACCTCTATCAAAACTCCCCAAGGTTCCTCTCCTCCACCTTGTGCGAAACCGGAGCATTTCTGGAAGATTAGGGCTCAGAAAGTTAGAAATGCTCCTTCAAGAATTGGAATTGGTCAGGTTATCGAGTCTGCTTTTTCGATCAAGGTGGCATTTACAACTTCACAGGAATTTTCCTATCTTGTTGAAACTTTAACGAGTCCCATTTTCAGCTAAAAACTTCCCTGCTCTTGCTTCCAATTATTTATCAAATTAATTGGTCTTTTATTAAGGATCGAGAGCTGATTTCTCTCAGCCCTCCATGCTTCATTCTATTGGAATAATGCGGAGAGAAATGACTTCTAGACTTCTCTTGGGGCTGAGAGGGTAAATAGATCTAAAAATTTATGGAGATAAAAGGGTTTGGATTATTCTTTCAGCTTCCTTAACTAAGAAACGTATTTTTGTATTGTTATCAATTCCAACTTAGAATCGATAGTTGCTCGATTAATTACTACCATGGGGAGGGTAGATGGAAGATGAAATTATAAATTGCTGGTGAAAATGCTTTCCTCAAAGTTATGACCTGAGTTGCCTTAGATTGTTTAATCAGCTTAGTGTTTTTTTATGTGGTTAGTTTGTTTGAAGAGGCATCATGAAAAATTTTTAAATTGAAATATATCTTGTAATCGGGCTGTATTTTATAACAGAATTGTAGCCGTTGTATGGCATTTATTTTTCACTAATTCAATAAAGTTGTTTTTCCTAGTAATTTACCATTGTAGCCGAAGGTGAGCTGTCTATTTTTTCTGGTTATTTTTCTATAAGTATTTGAACGTTTGTAACAGCGATAAGTATGAAAACTGTGTTATTTGATGTAAGGAGATAGTAGTTAATTGTTTGAGCAAAACAAAACTATTTGATCTTTTTAGAAGAAAGTGGACCAGTTAACGAGAAAAGGAGAAAAAAGTAGAAAAAGGAATGGCGATAGTTTCGTGACCTTCAATCCTTCAAAGTCCCCCTCCTTCCCCCCTATCCCACCACTTCCACTGCACCCAAAAAGTACAACCGTTAGCTGAGCTGCGTTGGGGGAAAGGTGCCATTAATCTTTACGTAAATTTTTCAAATTTAACCCATATCCTTTCAGCCGCGGTTGTTCAAATAGTGGCTAGTAGGAGTTATCCTCTGGATGATTCGCTGTCCCGTGTATAGCGCACTACGTTTTGTTTTGAAGTTATCGGCTGGATAGCAGGTTATCCGTTAGAGAGCGTTATCCTCCCTTTGAACAACTGGGTCCAAGCGTATTGGGATTAATGGTTACTCCCTCTCTTTCGCAATCGTTGTTTGGTCTCGTCCCTCGTACGCTGTATGCATCACGTGCTCTGCATAATAAGACCAAACAACCACTGCGACAGTAAGACTCTTGATTACCGCGCGTTTCGACACCTTAACTGGGAAATAGAGACAATGAAAGCTGCGGCAACCTCCTATCACGCCCACGAGAAACGAGATTTTTTAGCAGTGCGTGAACTGTGATCTTTAGTTACTCTATCTCCTCCTATTCCTAGGATCCAGAATGGGCCCGGGCCCGCTCGGCCAGACAACTTAAGTCGACTAGGTCCCCCATCGGTAAACCAAAAGAACATTCCGAAGCAAAACCGAAGATTAAGCCAAAGCCTGAGTGGAAGACAGCGTCCTTACGAAAAAAGGAGGCAAGTAAATCCACCAAGACGCAGTCGGAATATTGGCAGAAGGCGCGGCCGGACTGGGCGAAAGGAAAGAGCCCTATCGATAAACCCAAGATTCCAGAAAAACCAAAACCCAAGGCAAAGGATTACTGGGAAGAAGCCAAACCAGAATGGAGCAAAGGAAAAAGCTCCATTTCCAAACCTAGTGCGGGAGATATTAAAAAGCTAGCGGAGAAGAAGAAGTACGAGTATCCAACGCCTGAATGGGCAACTCCAGGGAGAAACAAAGATAAGGTGGGATGCTTTTTTTTAAAACCTAACATTAGTATGCTAATTCTCCATACTGTTCTCTATACATTTCCTAAGCTACTGACAAGGAGAATTTGGTTAACAATCAAGAGCCTCTTTTAGTTGGTGATCATTTCTTGTATTCTCATGACCTTTATGTGTTAACATTGTCAGGAGAAATTAGATGCTGGCACTCACAAGGGCCAAAAGGTTAATGCAAGAAAGTCCCGCATATAACTAAAAAATCTAACAAAGGGACTTTTTGCTGTGAAGTAGTATAAAGCTCTTTGTAAGATGCTTGTGCAACTTACTCTGATACTGCCAACAAGATTTTGCGCCCACTAAATGAAATCTTGCTAAATTTTTTAATATATAGAAAACAATCGTTCCTAATTTAAGCTCAGTTCTCAATGTATCTTTGCATTGTGCTCTTGAAGTTTTGGATGATGTAACCAAAGATGAAGCTTTAGATCTTGTGAAGATTAGGCCCTCAATAGCTTAAACTTTCTCTACCTGAACGCTACACCGGGCTTGACATGTTTTGTGATATTTAAATATCTATTATATTATTTCCTGTAAATGCAGGCTTCAGATGAACAAGATGGCAACAAAGGTCTTTTAAAAGCCGAACTAGAAAGCATATTTGGAAAACCCAAACCGATAGTGGTGGGTAGTCATCAACTGAAGGAGCTAGAGTCTTACGCTTTTTTGGTATTTAGCAACCTTCTGCGTGCAGCCATAACTCAACACTGTACGATGTGGTGTTTACCACTGATTTGTTAACTAGGCAGTAATAAAGTGTATGCTGTCGCTGATCTACATGTTACACATTGTTTATCACTATCCAAGGCAGTCTTTTTCTATGATCTCTAGGCCTATAGCTAAAATAAAAATAAAGACGTCTTTGAAAGGAATAGAAATTGCATTCTAAATCTTTACTTCGCTTTCCTGAATAGAGACAAGTTTTTCCATTGACGCGAGAGCTACATGCCAAAAATCAATAAGTTTGAGAGCTTGAAAAATTTACTAAAAAAACTGCTTTCAGTAGCTTTTTGCCACAACGCTTTCAGCCAGAAATTCGAAATTGAGTATAGTAGTTAGAAAGATTGAAATTCAGTCTACGATGTTCTTTTATCTTCTTCAAAGAAGCAGAAAAGACCCCATTCCTCCCAGGATATCGAAGAAAGTTATCGAGCAAGCATACGGTGAGAAAAATCATTTTGTTTTCTTAACGAGTAAGTCATAATCTAGTTCTTCGCATTAAAGTAAGACGTACCAAGCGGGGCGTTCGTTTAGAGGGTTCAGCTTACGCCTGTTCATTTATATGTGCGGGTTTTCCTTCTAGGTAGTATCAACCTCGTTCTCAGAGCCTCTTATCTTCCCGCCCCCTGGAGCGAGATAGGGGCGGGTAGATGGGAGACCCTGGGAACGAGGTCGAAGTGGTGAGTGCATCACTTTTACTGAATCCTACTCTGAGCGAGTGGGAAAGGATTAATTATCCTTTCTTGGAGCAAGCCATCATGGGAGTTGAGGTCAAGGAACTCTAAAACCGTCCTGACACTGGCTCTGTATTTTTGCCTTTGACAGAAAATTTGCTGACCACCGTCGCAATCTGAAAGTGAAAACAAAACATCGACCAACATCCAATCCCGTCAGGCAGCTGTTGTCCCGTGAGGATGTAAGAAGTGAGCTGTAAGGTGTGGAGTCGAGTCTGGAAATATTGGCTGTCTTTGATATCAGTATCTACGTTCCATTTGTCTAAATTAGAATGCAGACAGGTTGAGAAGGAATTCTCGGTTAGGACTATGTGGCTTAAAGGGGGCATATGAATTGGTCTACCTCATTTGGTAAATCGCTCATTTCCTCATCTTTCAAGGTTATATTTCAGAATATATATCATGAACTATAGTTACCATTTGAAAAATATCGAGGCATCAAAAAGAAAAGTTTAGAGCAATTGACCTGGATTTCTTAAATCTCGTAAACTGCCAAGGATATGGTGATGACCCTTTGTAGGAGGTCTCAACGGGGTTAGTGGTTACCCGTCAAATGGCCAGAAAATTTAGCCGGGAGGCTTAAAAATTGAAAACATTCCAAATAACCGTTTCCAGCGGATTATATTTTCTTGCCGTTAGTTGTAGAATAAAATAATCAACCCTTAAAATTTTTCTGTTGACCACAATGGAAAGATATTAATCGTAAGCCGTAAAGTGGCCACAATTTTTAACCGTAAGTTGCAAAAATTTCAACCCACAGGCCTTAAAGGCCATGACCCCTCTTATTATGTTAACGACTGCACGAATTGGTTTGGTATTTCGTCGGGCTTAGGTACGAATGATATGTGGACGTTAACATTCTGAACTGTTTATTACACTATATATTTATTTAATTGTTGTTGAGATGAAATGTGTTATTTAAGAGTGATTTATTTCCTTGCACAGTATCAATGTGGCAAGAGCAAAAGAGGATAAGGCTGGTTAAAGATGTAGATCCAAGTTTCAAAACGTCGTAATGAAAGGAGCAATGTAGAAACGAAAATACATGATCGCGAATGAAATCCATTGCACATTAAAATCTAAATAATAGCCAAAAGAAAGTAACAATTTTGTATCAACAAAACTACAAATATCACCAAAAAAATTGTTAGTTTTACAGAAGAGTTCAGTTCAGAATAGGTGATGAGTGATTAGATGTTTGGTCGAGATTGTGGCCTAATGAGTGATTGTGGGTAGAAATACATGCAGTAAATTTTGGTATAGTTTCCACTTACCTCGGCAAAAAATTGCTATTTCAGTGATATCTAACACATTTTGTCAATATTGCCGTTATATTGAATCCAATGTAAG